GTTATTAGTTATTCAGGTGAAGGTACAGAAGGGCCAGTCAAATATTTACCTCGTAAACAAAGCATCAGTGCAACAAAGCATTCAGATCCATGTGGATGCTCTCGTGTAACTGGTGTGATACAGTGTGATGCTGTTATAACATCCACAAGCTCTGTGCCTGTTTTCTCCTAGATGCCTACTTAAGGACTGATTGTGCACGCTGCCAGATTCTGTTTCTGAAGTTGAATCATTCAGAAATCCTTTCTCCAAAGATGATTTTCTGGAATATGGAATAAGTTATGAGCACATGCAGCAGGCTTGGCACCAGACAGGATACAGGTGTTTTCATCTATCTGGATAACAGCTTTTACAGATCTTGTAGGACTTGGTTATTCTCAAGAGTTCTGGTCCAGTTGGCCCAAACATTCATTGTGGAGCCTCATATAAAGTATTCAGTCCTGCAGTCATAGGCATGGGATGTCTCTTTTTGTCACCAAACTCCAGTGACCATTTCAATACCTGAATGGCTCCCACTCAGATATCTATCTACAGTTGTTCTTCCCTAAAAGGGAGTTACACTGCTTCTGCATTCAGGCTAGGTAGAGCACCACTAAGCTCCTCTGGCAAACCAGAAACAGAGCAACATGTATTTCTTAGTGGCTAGATATGGAATATTTAGGACACCAACATTTTATTATACCATTGCTTTGTAAAGCTCCTTGCTGTGTTACATTTACCTGCTTGGTAAGCTGCTCTTGCTCAACTCCTTCCTTTCTTGCTCGAATAAATTCATTGCTACCTCATTGACTCCTGCATGTCAGATGCCAAACCATGAGCCCTTGACACCAAGTGAACTGACAACTGTTGAAAACACAACACAACAGAAACAGTTGTTTGAAAATGCAGTCTAGAAGTACGTGTAGAGGAGGTACAAGAGTTGAGAAACCCTTTGCATAGTTTTCTGAGGGTTGCTATTGTTTTTCCACTAAATGACCTGCCCCATGGGAACTGTGCAACACAGGCAGACCTTCATAGCACAGTATCGAGTTTGTTGGTTTGTTTCCTCTATTGAAACACTCAGGCTTGTTGAGAGAGGCAAACCAGGGAATTCCATTCTGCAGCAGTGTTCTAGTGGTAAATTTTCTTCTGACAAAAGACAGAGCAGAGCACACAGAGACAAAATACAAACCTATTTATATAGTGTCAGATTTGAATCATTCTGCATCTTCTTCCTACGTTTATAAGAACCAATGCTTATGGGTGAGAAGATATTTGCATACACTCGACAAGGATATGTGTACTGTGTTAGTCAAATGCAATGCTTCTTTTATGGAAATATGTCCAAATTATTTTACAAGTACAGCTACCATGATTCAGTGCTAGTGTTATTTATCTAGTTTTTTTATTTAGCCAGCCAGCTCCTCCAGTGCTTCTCAGGGCTTAGCTCTAAATTATGAATTATTTTACATATTATATATATCTTGAAGAGAAGAAAAATATAGAATTCAAGATGTACCTTAGCATGGGGATAAAAACACAACGTATTTCCCAATTAAACAACATTTTCACATGTTTTACAGGCCATGGAGAATGGCTATATGCCTGAAAGCTGATTTAGATGTTATAAAAGCAAAGCAGCACTTTTTATAAAGTTATTAAAATCAAGAAACCAGATTCAGAAATGGAAAACATCTCTTTCCAGAGAGCCATGCAATCTACCTTTGCTGTAAATTAGACTTGATGGCCAGATGGTTGGAGAGACCTGGAACAATTTCTGTCATCACTTTTAATAGGCAGAAAGCATGCTTCTATTACCCGTGGCCACATAATACAATCAAAAGCACCTGCTTTTACACTTGTACAATACAGTCTGACTTCATGAGGCGGTGACCTATGCAAGGCTGAGCCTGTTGTCAGTGGGAGTGAGTGATTCCAATCCCAGACAAGGTAGGCTGTGTACAGCCCTTCTATCATTCCTCCGCAGGAGGGGTAGCTTCCAGACAAGATGGTCATTTAGTACAAATCATGCATTGCTTGTTATTGCTTTCTTCATCCTCTAATTCTGTTTGTTTGAAGAACTACAGAACTTTTTTATATAATGCTACAGAAACAGTGCAGAAAAGTGAGACAGAGAGAATCTCTGCATTAGCAAAAAATGCAACTGATACTTTGGAAAAAGTATCCTTCAATTTTTAACCACAGCTTCATTCCTCACATACCATAAACATACCTTCAACAGCACAGAAGCACCTACTGACATTAATGCATTTTTTGTTGCATTAACCCCTATATCTGGGAAAACAGCTTAGAGTAAGCAGGTTGCTTTAAACATAGGCAGACGTAAAGCACAGAAATGTTATACAGGACCAAAGACAAGACCACACTGGTGTAACATCCCATAGTCTCTCACTTGGTAGCCACAATCTCTTACCATGCAATAAGATGCATCACCTTGCACTTACTATATTTTAAAAATTGTTTGTGGCATTGCTACAACTGAATTCAGGGATTCAGATCTTAATGTAAGGTTTTCTGTTGGCGTATGGTCCTATTCATCCTTATGTCATCTGGAAATCATCTGCAAGCATTTTGTAGCATTGCACCTGTGTAGAAAGTCCAGCTGCATAATGAGTGGCAACTGGGGTGGATAGGTTCCACATGGGGGCCAGCCCCTGCTTTGGCCAGCACGGATTCATGCCGTGGCTGTCTGTCCTATGGGGTGGCATAGCAGTGGGGCAGGAGCTTGTGGCTCATCAAGCCACCTGCTCCTCGGGCACAAAGGCATCAGGCCAGGAAAAGCTGTCCTGACGCTGCCAGTTGGGCAGTGCTGGCCTATTACAAAAACTACCTTTGGCAACCAGTTCTAGAAATAGTCCCATTCATCGGTCTTGCCTCAGAAACAATTAAATTCAGCAAGCTGCTGCCAAAGCAGATTTTTAACCCTGTTAATTCAAGAGCATGCAATTGTTTAAAACAAATTGGTATGTGTATTACACTAAAATCACTCCTTTTGTGAAAAGTAGGCCAACGTACTTCTCTTCTTTGACGGCCAAGGCTTGCCTATTTACTCTTAATCAGCAAATAATTGTACTGTATGTACCTCAACTGTGGTCCCGTGAACTGAATGCTCAATGGCAGCTGGAAAGCATTAGATGGTCCCTTAGACTATATCTTCTGGCTTGGTTTCTTCCAAGAGAAATCCTGTTTGCATGGGCCAGCTCTGTTCTGCTGTATGAACCAAAGCAGGCTAGCAGGAGAAGATGCATAGATTCATTCCAGCCACTTGACTGATCCAAGCTAAAACATTTAATGCAGCTGTGCCCTTACCATACACATTCTTAAGCAGAGGAGCAAAGCCTCAATCTGGTAAGCAAGTTTATGGCTATGCAGCTAAATAAGTTGATTGACGGGAGAGTTTTGGCTCTGGACTCACAGTTCAGTATGTTTGTATCTAAATGCACTTAGTACATGTCTTGTTTCTGCAACACAAATTTGAAATTTAGCTATTTGTGCGTTTAAATAGAGGTTACTAAACACCATTGCTTTGTGCTGGCTTCAATAGGATGTGAAAGCTGTTGCAGTGCTACAGCTTAGATACCCCCAAAAGGGAATAGGAATTCCCCAAAAGGGAATAGGAAGCAAAACTCAAATTCCCCACTCTGAAAATTCTTTAATTCAAGGTCTAGTGGGAGAGAAACTCCTTGTTATATTAAAATTCATATTACATGTTTCTTGTTAAACTTTGTCACTATTATGCAATTGATTATAATACATGGTACTTCCTACCAGGGTTATAACAGCTTTTGTCAAAATAACAGGTTTTTTTAAAAATAGCTTTTTTTCTTGCCAGTTGTAGCACAGAGGCAATATGAAAACAAGAAACTAAACTTCGTATTATTTTCTACAGCTATCTCTCAAATCCAGGGGAAAAAACAAGCAATCAACCAAACCAAGCCAAAAAAAACCCCAAACCGAAACAAACAAAAAAAAATAGTTTAACAAACTAATTTTGAATTAGCAGTGTGTGTTGATACTAACATTGCAAGGTCATGATTTCAAAGTAAAGTCAGCTTTACAGAGAGGATTATACATACAGAAGGAAATAACTTTATGTTATTTTCAGGCATAAAAAGAAAATAAGCATGGCAAAATAAACATATGCCAGTGCAGTGGAAAACTGGAGGAAATATTTTAACTACTATAACTGTGATGTATGCGATTTGATGATACTTTTAGAGATATCGATACATTCAAATCAATACTTCACATACATTCCAATAGTAACAATGTTGTGTATAACACTATCTTATTGCAGAATGATGCAGGATACAAGCATTCACTCATTCAGTATGAAATAATTATACAAGAACACAGCTTTCTCCATATCCTATTGTTGCATGTTCAGATTTTACTAAGTGAGTAAAATCCTGCCATCATGAGATAGATAAGGAATAAGCAGGAATGAAAAGCAATTTTCATAAAAAACCTGTAGGAAGAATGGCTCTGGTGAGGTGCATGTACTGTCTGTACAGTTCCATCCCTCTGCCAGCCTTGGATCCTGCCACTGCTGCTTTGCAGTGAATGAAGTCTTGTGGATGCAGTCATGAGCTCAGCTGTCCACAATGTGTGCCCCTACAAGGAATATAATGGTCACACATCCTTCTCCATGCATCTCTCTTGGACACGCATGCAATGGCATTTGCTTCCACTTGTAAGATACTGTCTGCATATTTAACATGTTTTAACATGGGCACACACTGCTCTTTCCTCCTGATGTCAGGGGATCTGAGAGCTGGCATAAATAGGTTTGGTGAGATGAGCCAGGTCTCCCTTACGTGTCAGACAGCAGTGCCATGGCATGTTTCTGACACTAGCAATTTTGCAAAGACCTTCTCCTTACAGAACAAACATTAATTTAAACAGCCTCCACCTATAACTAAAACTCTATTAGTCTGCAGAAATCCAAGCTCCTTTCCTGAGCATCCAGAGCTATAAACACTGTTTATATCATCTAGCATATGCACAGATTTTATTCAAACTTTATTTTGTGCAATAGTTTGCCTTCCTCTTCGTAATATTCCATTTATTATCTTCCTTTTTGTATTTTCTACTCCAAAAATGAAAAGGAGGAGAGGAAACATTGTTTACACAACTGTGTGCCAGTATTCATACATATATCCTGATAGGATGATAATGCAATTAATATAGCGCAAAATAAAACTGTCAGGCATCAGAAGAGATGACTATCTGTAACCACAAAGAGAGAAAGGTAAAGTGATGCACAGAAGTGTAACAGGAAGAAAACACCATTAAGAGAAGGAAACCACATATGAAGGGAAATTCCTGTCAGTCATTACCATTAGGTGGTAAAACAGATACATAGAAAAAATGCAAAGCTGTTGCTCAAAAATATTTGAAATTAGACTTTATGCATCACCTCATTAAAAAATACACCTAGAAATAGAGTCAGCACAATACCAAAGCTGATGATGACAATACTGAAAAACACAGATTTTATCACCTAGTAGCACATGAGTGAAGAGTCTGATGAAAAGCAAAGCCAGAAGCACCAGCACTCTGTAACTCCACACCATGTTGTGCACCTTGTGCCATGTCCCTCAGCTGGTCATGTCCTAAAGAATCACCTTTATTATTAACATCTATTAATTTATGTCTCCCCCCGAGAGCCCCTTGACGTGGCCACCATGGCACAGCACAAGCCAGCCTGTGCAGACTATGCAACACAGCTGGGAGGGGGTGTACCTTGGCAGAGCTCCCAGTGGTTCTGGAAACCCCTAGTGACTCTCTCCTGGGTACTTCTGTTTTCTGGGAAGGCAAAGTACTCCAGGCATACTGATCACAGACACAAGAGACTAGTGTTCCAGCCTCCAGATCTCCCAGGTACTTGACAAAACATCCTGGACATCTGGTGAGCCAACCATCTCCCGACCAGCTGTCCCCACTGCAGTCAATAATACCCAAGTCTACTCTCTATCTTTAACAAATGTATAGTTGCTCTTTGCACAATTATATATCTGAGAATGTAAAGATGTAGATACCAGCTGCTGAATTTTTGCTACATTAAGTAGCGTTGATCATTACAGATACTTGCAGCAGCACATAACTTGCACGTCAGAGCTGCCTTTGGTTGCAGCGCTGTATTAATAACATTTGCAGGCTAACTCACTTTTGTATAATTTGCAATGGTCAAGAAGGGATTTGAGGAGAATTGTATAGGTCACTAAAATAAGAAATTGTGTACCTCTCATGGGGCACAGCTTATATTTTCACAAGGCTGAAGGTCATCCTCCCATCTTTTATGAGACAAGAGAAAACATCCTTACAAGGGTATTTTGGTGTTGTCCCACGAATTCCATTGTTTGCTGCAGAGTGTACTCCTTCCATAAAAGCTGGAAAGTTAAAACTTCCCACCAGTACCACTATGACTACTGCCTCAGTAGATAGACCAGTTACACTTACTCTCTGCTATACTTCAATGATTTACGTAGCTGTCTATAATGAGTGAGAACTTCCTTTTGTCTTCTCAGGCTTGTTTAAACCACTCAAGGCTGCAAAGTACTGCTTACACCTCACATGAAAGTTGATTTCAGGACAGTCCACTTTAATCTGTTCTTGGCTCTGAGTACTGATTAGGCCCCAAGCAAAAAGCAGAAATATGTTTGTTGGCTGTAAAATTAAGAAACCTGCATATGCTAAGAGAAAAATATAAAAATGTCTAATAAAGCACCCACACTTGATATATTCTATCGAGGCAACTGCCTTAAAGGCAGTTTCTGTTATCACAGCTGCCAGAGCTGTTTATTCTTACTTTTCCATGTGATTTCTCTTAAACTCATAGACAGACACCAGTTGCTGAGAGCAGGTTAAGTAGAAAAACAGGCTGTGCAGAAACTCCAGTATCTTAAGTGCAAAAATGAATACTTCCAGCCGTCTGAGGCCCCCGTAGTGTTTACTTCAGTCTAAGCTCTGGTCATGCTGCCAGCCTGCAGCCTCTTATGACACAGTAACAAAGTATCAAGCACTGCTAGATACCTCCTGTACAAGGAAGCATATTCCAGGAATGCTGGAGCTGAATTTGAACTTCCCATATCAGGAACAATGAAACTGAGAGCAAGCAGCTTCCTTGCTCAAGTGGAAATGACCACTTTTCAGCAAGTGCTACTGTCAATCACTGCAAGACAGCCCAGAGGAAATGCAATTGTGATAACTGACTGGTTTTAGTGCCTATAAAGGAAGTGAGTAGTTTTAGCTTTCTTGCTCTGTGGAGAAGGGGTTATTACTGTGCCATTTTATGTCAAGTCCTGGAGCACATGCACAGTTTGTGCACAAAAATGGGGTGATGTTTTCCCTCTTAACATAGGGCCAAATCAACCCACCCATATTAACTTTTCATGACAGAATCTCTAAAAAAGGCCACACCATCCTTAAATTGTTTTGGACTTAATTTGGTGTTGTCATGCAATTAGGTTTCACAAAATTGGCTTCTGGACTGACAGCTTCTATTGTTACAGCATATGGCAATCAGAGAGCAGCTTGTGGCAGATGTGATGTTTATTCACCATTTGCTAGTTTTAGATTTAATGATGTCATTCTAATCAAAGCAAATGTTAGATGTGTTTGACATCTAAGGAGTTTTGCACCCCCCTCATCATGTTTAAGCCGCTTCTGTCAAGTGGAAACATGCCAGCTCTGAATGCATCTAAGTCATATTTAAGAATCAATGATGCAATTTACTGGAGGTCTGTATTCTAAAAATCCATGTTTCTAACATGCATTGTGTTCCTCCAGCAGACTACAAAGACCTCCTATTACAATAAGTGAGCTCATTAGCCATGCAACTCCTTAGTCTTGCAAGCTGTTGCGATAAGCAGCTGTTGCAAGAGGGTAAAAGGTTGAATTATCGACTTGGACAGAGCAGCACTTCATTCAGCCAGCCCAGGAAAGTATTTTAAGTAATAACTCCATTACTGTGGAGTAGATCTTTGACTACAGCACACAAGCAAAACATCAGTGGTATTTCAGTGACATGCTTCCCCACACCCAGCAAGCAAGACACTCCCAGAAATTAATTGTCAAAAATTTATTATGAAAGCTTCAATAGCAGCAAGTATTTCAATAAAAGTTATTGCGGTATTAAAACAGATCTGCAGAGTGACCCAAGAGGCCTGTTGAAGTCTGTCTGCTTTGGAATATCTGCATTTGTCTTAATAACCAATCCCCAATACTCCATAAATATTGATACTTTCTCCTGTGTTTTGCAGACAGCACCAACAGTTCCCAGTTACAGTACTCTATCCAGTCCTTCTGGAAAGTTTTGGCCCACTTCCCTCAACTTCCCCTCTCCCTTCTGAAACAGCTCCACACAGCCAAACTTGCAATACTTCTTTCAGTTCCATGGTATGTCAGCCTCTCCACGGTTGCAGCCTACTGAGGCTCACTGGTGAGATGAGCTGTTTTCCTCTTTCTCCTCTGTAAGAGCCCACTGCATGCCAGTCTGAGCGACTTTAATCCAGTCTCTTGACCAGGCTAATCCATGGAATCAGCAGCTTGTTGCACATTTTGGTGAATGCACAGCACGTTGAGAATGCAACAAAGGTTTCAGCCTCCCCAGTGCACCAGGTGACCATCACTCAGGCAGGGGGATAGTTGGCACCCAGTCATTGAGATTTCGGCTCTCTTCGCAAAACAAGTTCAGCTTCTCCAGAGCTGGGTCCTTCCAGCCTTCTTCATTCGGGTTCTGCAAGAAAGAAAAAAAGTTGCACACGGTGAGTACTGCCCGCCAGCTGAGGTCATCGTAATATTTACAGAAGCATTAGCTTAAGACTGGAGGCACTTCCAGAAAGTTTCTGTTCTGACACAGACAAGACAGGAAGCAGAGACGCTGCCCTTGTGGACAGCAGAGGAAATCCAGTTACGAGAAGTTCTGCCTCCTCCTACTACAACTACTCAGCTGACTTTCCGTGCGCCAAGCGCTTTCTCTGTGCCCAGAGGACTCGACCACCCGCAGCGGAAGAACGGGCCGCCCGCGGGACACCCACCGTGATGAGGATGCAGTGGAGATCCCGCGGCTCCCCGGAATCCTCGCTGGGCCCCACGATGGCCGCCAACTTGGCCACGTCGTTCACACGCACAATGTCGATGTCGTTCTCGCAGCAGAAGGCTTGGATCAGAGTGAAGTGGATCTGCAGGGCGATGTCCCCCTCGTCCTCGTGGTCCGCGGCCAGCACGCAGAACGCGACGTTGTCGGGGTCGCTGCAGGAGGGGAGCAGCCTGATGAGTCCCGCGGTCGGCGCCGGCCGCCCCGCAGCCCCGCCGGGCTGACTTAACACACTCCCCCTGTCCCCGCCGCTCTACTTACACATTCATGAGCTTGGCCGACTCATAGACGCCGGCGGTGAGACAGCCTCGGCGCTGCGCCGACACCAGCAGCTCGTGGAGGGCCGTGCCGGCGCCCTGCATCCTGCGGGCCGGGAGAAGACACAGGGTCAGCGCGGTGCCGCCGCCGCCGCCACCACCACCACCGCCGCCCCGAAACCGCCCGCTATCCGCTTTCCTCGGCTCCCCAGTGCCCACCCGCACGTACCAGTCGTTGCCCGCAGGCATGGGCTGCTGTCCGTGGATCTCCTCCAGAGTCATAGCAGTTACTCCCCACAGCGCAGTAGCGGCTGCTCCCTCAGCCCTCGCTCTGGGCACCCCGCGAGCGCTCTGAAGCAGCGGCTGCCAGGCGTGCGCTACTTATAGCCCTCGCGGGCGCCTCCCGGCCTCCCATTGGTCGGCGGGGGAGAAAGGGGCGGCTTTATTATGCTAATCGGCGCGCGCCGGAGAGGAAGCTCGGGGGGGGGAGAGGGGGCCGGGAAAGAGCGGCTCGTGCCGGGAGGCCACGTGGGGCGAGGAGGGGGGGCGCGCGCAGGCACGCGCCGGCCCGAGCCGGGGGTGCCGGCGGTACCGACCCGAGCCGGGGGTGCCGCGGTGCGCCTGCAGCGCGGCCGCTGCCTGCACACCGCCCGCCGGTGGGCACTGGCATTTAGTAGGGCGATTTGTGTCCAATACTTGGAACGGAAAATCTGAACAGTGCAGGGGAAATTTATTAACTAAATAAATAAATAATTTGTTTTATTAATATGGTTCCTGCAAACGTGAACGCCGCAAAGGGACAGCTCCTGTAACCAGCAGGGCAGAGGGCAGCTCCGTAGAGAAGGTCTGGGGCAGTCACCTGGTGATGTTCAGCTGCAGCAGAGCCCCCCGATGCCCCGGTCTGTGAACAGGAGCATGGCCAGCCGGCCGAGGGAGGTGATAATCCCCCTGTGCTCAGCACTCACGGCTCAGCAGCAATGCCGTTTGTCCGGTTTGGGCAGCCCCAGCAGGGGAAACTCATCAATAAACTGGAGCAAGTGCAGATGAGGGCACCGAGGTGTCCAAAGCTGCGGCGCTGCCCTGCTCTGCAGGCTGAGGGACCAGGGCCAGGGCAAGGCAAAGTTTGGACGGCAAACTGCAGTCCCCAAAACCTGTGGAGCGATTAACACCGGGGTCTCCACAATAATGCCAAGTGGGGAGGCAGGAGACAATGAGCCTAAGGCGAATCAAGAGTCTCAGATGAGATGTAAAAAAATCCTTTCTCCCTGAGAACAGCCGAGCAGCGGAGCAGGCTCTCTCTCCCTGTCCAGGGAGGCTGTGTAGATTTCATCCGCGCAGGATTGCAAGCCCCGATGCAGACCTGTTCTGAGGTCACTGATAATCTTTCTGCACCCTGTACTGGCCTGTAATCCTTGGGGGATTGGGGGGGGGGGGGGGGGGGGGGGTGGGGGGGGGGGGGAAGAGAAGTGTGTGGTGAGCGAACAGATTTTATTTTCAATCGGGCTTTGGGCTTTACTATAAGTAGTTGTAATTTGGACAGTGTATCCTTCATAATTAATTCAGAGTGAAACGAGTGTGATTGCTGAACTCAGATTTGAACCTGTTTGTCAGCGAACCAAGCAATAATAAAACACATATCCCCGCTGTGAATGAGCACAGTCTAAATATTAAAAGGCAAATAATTTTTCACGTCCCTCCAGCGTCTGACACGCTTAGGTTGGAGCTCTCAGTTAGCACCGTCTCCACCGAGAGACAAGTGCTTCAGAGCAGCCCCAAGCAGTTTCACAGAGGTTGTGGAGAGCCACCTTGGGGTAACTTGTGCTACTGCGACCTGTCCACACCGACTCCAGCGGGCTGCACAGATGGATCTCTCTAACTTGTCACCCTTGCTGTACCCTAGCCTGCAGCCGCATTATCACCGTTCGAATGCGCTGAAACCCGGGGATGCCCTTTCCAGTACTTCACTGGGAGTCCTGGAGGAACCACGTCTTTTCTGTGACTGTATATGCTGCACTCTGCTCCGTAGTTTCAGTCTCTTTCAGCAACACAGTTCCCAAAATGCCTCTCAAACTGAGCCACTCTAATGAGCTGCCCTGTTTCTACTTCCAGTTGTTTCTAGTTAGTGCCCTGGTGACACTACAGGTGACAGCATTCGACCTGGCAGTAGTCACTTGGTGAGTTTCCATTTTAAACTAATGACAGCATAGGCATGATATTTGCCAGATACATCCAGCCTCTCTAAGAATATTTCTCTGATGTCTACAGAGCTGTCAGTACTGGGGAGAAAACTCTTTGTTGTAAATACCAATTCTCAAGCCTAAAAATCTTTTTTACCCTTACTAACATTCAAAGGTATTCTTGATTTGGAAACCAAAGCAGTGACCTGTCAGTCTGAATTTGCTTGAGAAGGGCAAAAATTCTTAGTTTGCTTTCTTTAAAATAGATGTGAGAAGTTCCCAGAAAATTATCTCCTGGCCTGTATTCAGGCAAGTGCAATTGTCTCCACTTGCTGGAATTAGCATTACGTACATAGCATGTACCTTTCATTCTCAAAAGATAAAAACCCTTCATATATCTGCCTCTTTTTTTTTTCTTTTTTTTTTTCTCTAAGTATATAAATGGGGACGAATGCAGAAGAATAGCTTGAATGGTTAGACACATTAAATGGTATGTCTCTTATAAGTATTCAAAGGCCTATTTCTGATGAAATATGTAGAAAATCTAGAACTGACTCACAGCTTTGAAAGATGCTGATATCAGCTATGGCTTTGATGACTTTCTCATGACAGCAAAAGTGTAAGTTACTTAAAGTAGATCTGAATTAGTAACCCAAAGTAACTTACAGTGGAGAACAGTGCATATGTAATAGTAAAAGAGATATAATTGTTTAGATAATAAAGTGATATATGGAACCATATTAATACATTAATCCTTCAACATGCAAGCTTCCAGTTGCAGCTTAGTGATGCAGCACCCTGGAATTAGGGCTTCTTGACATGACACTTTTCAGTTTGCCTCATTATTCCTGGGTCTCCTAGCACAGATGGTGCTGAAGGCCATGAAGCATTTATTACTAGATACTTGATCCAGCTTATTTCAAACCACAGAATCAACACCGGGCCTTTGACGCAGAAGAGGAGGTGTAGAAAGGAAAGCTGTGCGAGCCCAAGGTCTCGTCCCTGGTTTGAAGGCATCAGCTCTGCAGATGTGATACCTTTGGCACTAATAAGCAAACTGAACTTTAGTGAAGGTCGGTGTCCACTGCTTGCTTTCTTGGTCTTTCTCCTTCCATGCTTTTAACACATTTAACTGCTGGGCACAGACCTATGGTAGATCAACTCTCGAGTGCTTCATATCATCCTGTAGGCCAAGGGGGAGACGGTGGGCGGCGGTGAATATCACATGGCAACAGCACTCAGAGGTGAGTGAGTGGTTTCTGCCGTCCTTGCTGACAGCCCTGGTGTAAGGCCAGTGTCACCTCCCGGTGCTCCCGCAGCACGGCGAGGCTCAATTCGGACCCTTGCTTTGCGGACGGGCGAGGTGCCGCTGCCGCTCGGCGCTGCGCTCGCAGCAAAGCCGGCGCTGACCTCTCGTGGTCACCCGCCGGATCGCTGCTGGCTCCCCGAGCAGACACAGCCACCCGCGGGACACCTCCTGTTCCCGTGGCAGGAACGCTTCCCACGGAGATACAGGAAGAAAATAAAATACTAAAATAAAAAAACTTTTTTAAAGAAAAAAACAAAAAATAAAAAACGCAAACAACAGCCACCCAACCAAACAAAAATTAGACCTTGACGCATCCTACACAAAGAGATCCCCTTAAGTGTGTTAGTAGATCCATGGATGTGCTCGGGGCAGGAAGGCTCTACAGAGACCTGGACAGACCCGATCAGTGGGCCAAGTACAAAGTGCATGAGACTCAGTAAGGAAAGGTGCCAGCTTCTGCATTTTAGTCTCAGCAAACCCATCAGCCCTACAGGCTGGGGGAGAGAGATGCTCGGCAAAAAGGGACTTGGGGGTGCTCATTGAGAGCCAGCTCAGAGTGAGCCAGCATGTGCCCAGGTGGCCAAGAAGGCCAAAGGCATCTTGGCCTGAACCAAGAATAGTGTGGCCAGCAGGACAAGGGAGGTGATCATCCTACTGTACGTGGAGCTGCTGAGGCTGCACCTCAGGTCCAGTTTTGGCCCCCTCACATCTCCAGGACATTGAGGTGCTGGGGCTTGTCCAGTGAAAGTCAACAAGGCTTATGAAAGGACTAGAAAACATGTCTTATGAGGAATGGCTGAGGGAGTTGTGTTTGTTTCATCACTAGAAGAGGAGGCCCAGGGGAGATCTCCACAACTTCCTGAAAGGAGGCTGTAGTGAGGTGGGGGGCAGTCTCTTCTACTGTGCCTGCAGAGATAGGACCAGAGGAAATGGCCTTCAGCTGAGACACGAGAACCAGATTAGATATTAGAGAAAAAAATATCATTATTAGGGTGGTCAAGCATTTGAATAAGTTGGCCAGGGGGGTGGTGGAGTCACCATCCCTGGAGGTCCTTAGGAGGCATCTGGATCTGGTGCTGGGTAATGTGGTTTAGTGATTTAGGGGTTACAGCGCTAGTGCTCGGTTGGCTATTGTACTGGATGATCTTAGAGACCCCCTTCCAACCTTGACGATCATATGCTTCTAAACCAGTCCCCTAGTATAAAAAGTGAGAGACAGATTAAAGGGGAAATAATAGCATATTCAATCCCAACAAAGGCAAGGAACCCGGCAGAATTTAACAGATGAAAGTGCAAAAGGATGACAAACCAAATAAACATAAGTTTTGTCATTTTGCAGAGAAAATAACAGCATGTCTCTGGCTGAAGTGCAGCAGTCACAGACATTACCTCTTGGCCTAAGTGAGAGGAGACTCAAACCTTCCACATCAGAAAAGGTTTGCAAGCCCTGGTAATAGACCCCAGCTGTGGGGCTCCCACACTGCGCTCACCTGTCTAGTGCTCCCCTGGCTTGTGCTGCACATCCAGACTTTCCATCAGAAATACTCTCTTTACCAAGATAGATCAGTCCTTTTGGCTCAGATGGAGTATTCCCCCCTCAATGTCTTTCCAAATCCATTAGAGCTTCTCCCTCTCCCACTCCAGTCCTACATCCAGTTCTCTTCCCTTGCAGACCTATTGTAATCACCCAGCAAGCTTCTTTTTCCAGATAGAGCATCTCACAAAATAAAAACCTAATTTAAAACCTTCCTACTGAACAAAAGTTTTAAGAGGGTCTACAAATCCTCTGGTTAAATTCAAGCTGATTTCAAGTTTCCAGCAGATCAACAGGTCAGCTATGTAATCCTCATATTATTTCTTC